TAAGCTGGAGTGAGTCTGTTTCCGCACACAGCAAGCTTTCTGTGTGCGATTCTTTTTACGGTAAGTTATGATAACTTTACTGAAAATGAGCCACTCTTGAAACCCAAATTATATATCGTTGTTAAAACTAAGTGACGTAATGATCAATATCGAGATGGATTAAACATTAAAGTTACCAGTTGATTGGATCAGTCGTAATGGGTATTACGATTATCTGAAAGTAATCTTAACTGAATGATTATTAGATGTAATAGAAATATTTACACATTTTAGTGCTTTATATAGTGTTGTTAGAATACGAGAGTACTTAAATAGTGTTTGTAAAATATGTTGTACGTATAACCTAAGATGAATATGTGTCTATATTAGTGTAAATTTACAGGAATTTGCTGTATTACTTAAAGATATATCCGCCTTATTCTGAGATCGCTACGAATTTTGGGACTTGTAGCTCATGCCTGTGGTTTTATTACCATATCAACGTGTTTGGAAAGTATTATTAAGTCACAAATCCATTAAATACTGTTTCACTTGTCCTGTCATATACATATATGTTCATACATTCAGTTGTTAGATAATTCTACAGTATTATTTTCTATCAATAATACAGAAGTTTAATAGGCTTGTTTTATTTCTTTTTTTAACACAATTATATTCATGAATCGAATCGAAACGATTCCTTTTTATTCTGCAGATTTCAAACATTGTTTGTGTATTATTGATCACTTAGAATATTCATAACAACACGTATAACCAGTTTATCTCGTTAGATCTCTTCACCATCCAATATCTGTAAATAAAAGTATTGATTGCAAATTACTAAGCTCGTGCTTTTGTTGTTTTCTCTCATATTTTGATGAAGTTATGTAGTATCTCTTATAGGGAAAATTATTTACCTTGTCTTACAGGAAAAAATTATTTACCTCGTCTTAAAAGAAAAAATTATTTACCTCGTCCTACAAAATAATTTTCCCTGTAAGACGAGGTAAATACTTTCCCCTGTAAGACGAGGTAAATAATTTTTCCTGTAAGAGGAGTAAATACTTTCCCCTGTAAGACGAGGTAAATACTTTTCCCACCTCGTCTTACAGGGGAAAGTATTTACCTCGTCTTACAAGGAAAATTATTTACC